AAAAACCCATACCCAAAGAAGCATATTTTTTTATGGTCCAAAACTTTACAACTCACTCCCAGTAGAATTGAAAGAAATCAATAAACTAAATCGATACAAAATAGCCCTTAGAAATTTCATCAGTCAAAATCAGGTAATTATGAAGAATATCTTTTGAACAAAAAAAAAATCATTTGACTAAAGCTGATGACTTAAATCTCAATCCATACCCAAATCATCAAGAACTTTTCAACACCACTTCTTATTCTTTTCCATCACTTCCTATATATAAAAAAAAAAAAATATTTTTTTTTATCGTTACAGGATAATTACATTCATCACCAATCTACTATTCATTGCTACATAATAATAAATGATAGCTACTCGATTAATGTATGTCGCTAAGAAGAAATGTTAACTGACCGATATACGCCGTAACACTCATGGACGAATCACAACACAAGCATTTCTGTGCTTAGGTGAAGCGTCCAGATTTTTACGGTGTAATAATAACAATAATATTGTATACCATCATGTAATGTTCTTCAATAGCTATGAATATATGAATATATGAATATATGAATGAAGATACATCGACTCCATCGTCGTGCACACTATATCTCTCTTTCCTATCATCCCACATGGACACTATTGAAGCAGACAAGAAACATCGACTTAGACTATGTTTACATTGTAACTCTGCAGTCTAGCATCTGACATACATACAGTTGAAGCAAATATGATCGCAGTGACCATATAAGACGACTTCAAAGGGTATATAGCAAGTACAATAGGCAGATGAAGATGCATCGACTCCATCGGTGTGCACACTCTTTCTCTCTATCCCATCATCTCAGATGGATACTATTGAAGCAGACGAGTTCGCAATGCCCATATGAGACGACTCTCAAGCAGGTATAACGCACACATCTTGCACAACAAGAAACTCCGAATTCGACTATGTTTACACTGTAGATTAGATTAGATTTGGAATGGGGCCTTCGGGCTATCTGCCTCCACACTGCGACCTTTTCAGATCTATTTAGTCTGCCCTCAGAATCGATTAGAGTTCTTCGGCTAGCCCCGCCTTCTCTATAAGACTCTAAATGCTAGCTTCCAGATCTACTGTGTATCTCTGGGCTCCTGGTTTTTCCTCACCCAGCTTAAGGAACCTTAGTCTCGACAAGCCCTCATAGTGGCATAGTATGTGTACTGCTGTTTCTTCCTCTTCTTGACAGACAGTTCTTCAGTCAGACCTATCGTACTCATGTGTTTGTTGAGCCTACAATGCCCTGTGAGAAGTCCTACTAGTATTCTAGTTGAACTTCGTTTCTGGCTTAGTAGATATTCTGTGAATGTTGGCGATGGTTTTTTAATAAACTCTTTTTCCTGTCTCATTCCTGGCGAGTTGTTTCACCATTCTTGAGATTTTGTTTGCATCCATAATTTGATACTATTCTTTTGTATAGCTTTCGCAATACCACAGAAGGGTTCTGGGCTATTGAGAGCTTTGTTTGCTCCTGCTCGGGCAAGTGAGTCTGCCTTTTCATTGCCCTCGTACCCTGTATGTGCTGGTACCCATGCTAGAGTCAATCTGTTCTGACTGCCCAGTGCATTTAGGGTTTCGAAGCAGTCCCATACTAGTTTTGAGTCAACTTGCATAGAGTTGACTGCTTTGATTGCCGCCTGGCTATCTGAATAGTTTGCAATGGTTCTGCCTCCAGACTCTTGCCTTATCAATTCTTTCACGCAATGAAGTATTGCAATGATTTCTGCCTGAAACATCGTCGCGTATTTGCCTAAGCTCAGTGAGATTTTTGTCTTTGGCTTGGCCCCATGAATACCAACTCCTGATTCTTCCTCCAGTTTTGGAGCCGTCCGTATAGACAGCAATGTCTGCATTGATAGGAGGTCCTTCCTTCCATGCCTCTTTGTTCGTTATACTTATTTTAAAAGTTTTTTCAAAGCTATATTTTGGAATTATGCCATCCGTTGGCATCCCCATGATGGAGTCGCTTTCCAACACTTCATATAGCTCCCTATAGTCTTTACCGTGCGCGTTGCCTATGGGTGCTTGACCCCTTGACAATCTACTCACGACTGCTCTGGCTTCGCTTTGAATATATATTTGTAGTGGTGGTAGGTTCAAGAGGACCTCTAAAGCGGCTGTTGGAGTGGTTTTCATTGCACCAGTGGCACTCAGGCACTCTTGCTTTTGAATAGCACTGAGCCTTCGAATCACTCCAGCCTGTTGTGTCTTTGGCCACCAAACTACTGACCCATATGCCATCATAGGCCTGATGACGCTGGCATAGAGCCATGTGGTCATTTTTGATTGCAGTCCCCAATTTTTTCCGCACATTCGTCTGCAAAGATTGAAGGCTACTGTACTTTCTTGAACAATTTTTTGAAGGTGTTGATTCCATGTTAACTCATGGTCAAAGATGACTCCTAAGTATTTTGCCTCTAGGGCGAACGGAATTTCTACCCCGTTGAGTACTGGTGACTTTAATCCTTCCAGTACTCTCTTTTTCGTGAAATTCACTATGGTGGTTTTATGAGGGTTCACGGTGAGTTCCTCCTCTCTACACCAATTGTGTTTGAAGCGGTTTGTGTGAGCTCCGAGATCGTACTTGCGAATCTACCTCTAGCGATAACCGCCAGGTCGTCGGCATATCCTAGGCAATAATACCCTTTGGATGTTAGCCTTTTGATCAGTTCATCCATTAGAATGACCCATAGTAGGGGCGATAATACTCCCCCTTGTGGGCATTCCCTTTCTGCTCTAGCTGTCAGGGTTGTCTCGCCAATTGTGGATATGACAGCCCTATTTTTCAAATTGACATTCATCCACTGGCACAGGAGTAGTGGTACTCCTTTTCTTGCTAGTGCGTTAATTATAGAATTTGTTGATGCGTTATTCCAAAACACCTCCTATGTCTACGAATTTTGTTATAGCTATTTCTTTGTCCTCTATCGACTTTGCGAATAGCCTGTTCAAATCATCCAGTGCTAAGTCAGTTGACTCGCCTGGCTGATACGCATATTGGCGTTCGTTGAGCAGGTTTCTTTGTAATACCTCGTCTCTTATGTACCTGTCTATCAGTCTTTCCGGCGTTTTGAGCAGCAACGACATTTAACTTATTGGGCGGTATGAGTTAGGCGTTTTGTCACCCACCTTTTCCACTTTGGGTAGGTAGATGACTGTCACCTTCTGCCATACGATGGGTATATATCGTATTGCTATACAAGCCTTGAATATTCGATACAGATGTGAAATAAGTATTTCCTGCTCCTTTTGAAGCAGGATGGGGTATATTCCATCTACTCCAGGGGATTTATAAGGTTTGAATTTATTAATAGCCCACCTAATTCTGTTTGGCCCCGATATCTCTGTAGTTAGCCTCCATTCAATGGCAGTTGGCCTATTCGGCTACCAATGGTGCTGTCTGCAACTATCGGCTCATTTAAAATTACTGAGGCCGGAAAGTATGCCTCAGTGAGCACCTTCAGACTCTCCTCAAAAGTTGCCGTGTAGGTATTGTGATTCTTCTTCAGAAAACCTACTTGGTTTACAGTTCCTTTTTTGGATAGCACTTCGTGGATCCTTGAACATGTTGGGGTTTCTGTGACCTCGTCACAGAACTTTTTCCACGATTGCCTTCTCGATTTCCTAATCTCTTTTTTGTACTGCGTGAGTTTAACCTTATATGTGGTCCAATTCTGGTCGAGTTTTGCTTTGATGAATAGCCTTCGCAACTCCCCTCGTAGGGATTCGAGATGTTTGTTCCACCAGATTGTTTTATTGTTTTGTTGTCTTGTTTTTTCCGTGCAGTTACCTTTGTAGGCGGCAACTATTGCCTTGCTCACTTGGTCTACTGACCTGTCAAGACTGTGGCTGTCCCTCATGTCAGCCGTGGTCCTTCGTAGAGATTCTCTGATAGATGTTGCATATCCTTCACAGTTGGTCTCTCTGGGATTCTGTACTTTGTTAAGGTACGAGGTGGGGTAATTATATCAAATCTTATTCGTCTATGGTCAGAGCACGAAGGTTTGTCTGACACATGCCAGTTGACGATATTATCACATGCTTCTTCTGACGAGAGAGTTATATCTAGAATTTCTTTCCTCGCTGCCGTGACAAATGTTACTCCGCATCCTACATTAGCTATTAATAACCTTTCTGTTAGTATGAATTACAAAAGTGACTCACCTCTTACGTTGACGTCTGTGCTTCCCGATACGGTATGGTGTGCATTTGCGTCATATCCTATGATGAGTTGGAGGTTTGCCCTTGCCGCATATGCGGATTACTCCGCCTAGTATCATTGGTGAACAAACCTCTTCGCCTGGGAAATATTATCCAGCTCCTGGTGCCTTCCTCTGTCGGCGTGATTAGGAGTCCTGTAACAATATCACTGGTGCAGAGCACCGGTATTAGTGTGCATTTCACTCTATCGCTATATACTATGCATGCGCGAGGTTCATTGTTACCTTCTACGTATAGTACTTCACCTTGGTTGGGTTTCATGCCGGCTACCCTCCCTCCATGTAACCAGGGTTCTTGCGAGAGGGCTAGGTCGAGACCCTCTTTGTCGAATCTCCTACATACCATAGCGTTGGACGCCTTGGCATGATGGAGATTCAACTGCAGAACCCTGATCCTACGGTTCAGTTCTGTGAACTGAACCCTTCTTCCGCCTCATTTGAGGAATCTCCCTTCCCCATGGGTGTTGCGCTCTCATGTGCTATTGGCCTCTTGAGAGGACTTCACCCACTTTGAGTAGGGCTCTGCCTCGTCCTCTTCTCGTGCCTCTTGGGCCTCCTGAATTGGCTCGGCGTCTTCTTCTTTTTCCTTGACATGTTTCCCCTTCTGTCTGAATTTAATTCTCCCTAGATTGAAGTAGGGAGACATGTCAAGTTTCACTAGTTCTCCCAGTGACTGTTTGTCCATGGAGAAGACCCAAGTTTGACCTTTTTGGCCGCAGGAGTTTTGCCCCAAACCGTTCAGAGGTGCGTGTTTAGCCCATGATTTGCGACTTTGAGCCGGTGCAGAAATTTTTCCGCCTCTGGCTTTTGCCCTCTCTCATCAGAAATGAAGGTAGTGCAGGTGTAGGTTTCAGGTAAGTATTCCCCCCTCCCAACACTGTCAGGGTAGCTCCCTCCCAGGGTTTTATGGTTGGGATGACCTCCTTCAACCAGTCTGCACTAGTGCGATCCACGCACATCATTACCAAGTATCCCGGTTTATGAGTGCATTTTGCGAATCTCACTTGAGGTCCCTCTACGGGGATTCGATCCAGAGCCTCGGAGATTGAGTCCTGGACTTCTGTGAGCCTTTCAGTACTCATTTTCACCTCCGGAAAGTCCGTGTGTACCACAGAAACCTTAACTGAGTTAAGGGCATCTTTGAAGGATACTCCTTCGTGCCTTGGTTCCTTACTCAGCTGGCTGGTCTGTGGCACTGATTGGCCGTGGTCGTTTCGTCGCTTTCGTGCCTTTACCGGCCTTCCTCGACGTTGTTGCTACAGGTCCCAGCCTCAAGGGCTTTGCGGGTTCCTTGCTTTTTAGAAAGTTCTCCTTGATTACCAGCCTTTTGGCTGAAATGTAATCAAGGCCCTTTTCTAGGTGGGCTTTAAGCCTCAACCTCGAAGCTCCTCAGAGGTGTGCTATGTTCACCTCATTGTCTGATAGTAGCTCTAGTTCCTCAAGGGAAGATACTACTACATTGTTTCTGGCTTTTGGTGCCTGCCCTTTTGTGGACTCAGCACCAGGCGTGCCTGCCATCTGTCTTGGGTTGGGTGTGGTCACCACCGCCCTTTTGACAGGTTTTTTATTTTTGTTTTTCAAATCCATTCAGATCCCACGAGTAGCTAGGAAAGTTTTGGTCCGCTACGACAGAGCCCCGCATGCCGTAGTAAGGTCTTCATACTCTGGGATTCGACCTTGTGTCCCAGAGGCTCCGTTCTTGATAGCACTTCCTGCTACCAATTAGTCCTTGGCACGGAATTCTCACACCTTGACTCGAGGGATCGCTTCGACTTACCTTGTCTAGATCCGCTGTGTTTAGTTTATGCAGGGTCACCTCGGGCAGGATGCGATTCTACATCGCGCACAGACGGTCTTGGTAATAGCTTCCTCGAGAGGTTTGCCCGACCTCCTCTGCTATTCCCCTGGAGTCGGTGGCCATGTAGCCGATTCCTTAACCCCATGTTCACACTGTAACTCTGCAGTCTAGATTCTGACATGCATACAGTTGACGCAGATACGATGGCAGTGAACGTATAAGACGACTTTGGAGGGTATATAACGAGAACAATAGGCAAATGAAGATACATCGACTTCATCGGTGTGCCTATTCTTTCTCTCTATCCTATCATCTCACAGGGATACTATTGAAGCAGACGAGTTTGCAATGCCTATATGAGACGACATCTAAGCGGGTATAACGCACACAACTTGCAGAACAAGAAACTTCGACTTCGACTATGTTCACACTGTAACTCTGCAGTCTAGCATTTAACATGCATACAAATGATGCAGAAACGATTGCAGTGACCGTATATGACGACTTTGAAGGAATTATAACGGAAACAATAGGCAAATGGAGACACATCGACTTCATCGTCATACACATTATATATTTCAGTAGATACACAAGGTCGATTCTCATATCAAGATACTAGAATCGACCTATGTATTATATGATACTAGGTCGATTCTAGTATCAATGATCTATCGAACAGCCTTATGTTCCATTTGATCGTAGGTCGATTCAAACATCAATGATCTTAAAACAGTCTTATGGTTTTTGGATACTAGAATCGCTCTATATGTTCTGAGATAGACAATGTCGATTCTTATATCAAGATACTAGAATCGACCTATGTACATTTGATCCTATAGGTCGATTCAGAGATCAATGATACTAGAATCGACCTATGTATCATTTGATCCTAGGTCGAATCAGAGATCAATGATACTAGAATCGACCTATGTATTATTTGATCCTAGGTCGATTCAGAGATCGATGATCTCAGAACAGCCTAATGTTTTCTTGATACTATAATCGCTCTATATGTTTTATGGAGCATCGACATATGATTCTGGTTCCAATATGGAAATTCTTGCGATCTCAGAAATCAGGATCAGGTGTTGAAGCATCTCAGAAATTCATATGAGCCGGAGAGAATTCTCCTGCTTGTCACAGTATCAAGTATTCTGAGACCCGCTATATTGAACGCAGTACTCAGGGTATTGTATATTTTGGGTATAACCTAAGGAAGGGATCAGTAAATTGAACAGAGAGTATTTGATAATAGTATTAACTAGAAGTAGGACATTTCAAAGTAACTCGTTTGGTTGTGGTAATTTTGTTTTGTTGAAATCGTCTCGGATTGAAAGAAACCTGTTGGATCCATTCTTCTTCTTCTCTTGAGCTCATCTTGATGTTGTTGAAATTCTTCGTCATCTCAAGAATGTCGATAGTCATTTTGAGTTCCTTCAGGTTTCTGATATGTTGATTCAATGAGTCGTTGATGAACATCTGAGCGGTTAGCAAACAAATGGAAAGGTCATTGGGGAAGGAAACTACTTATCCAATTATGTGAATCCCTGAAATTTCGAGAACTGCACATATTGTTGTCACTGGAATTATGGTGCATGCATAGAGGACTATCAGCCTTGAATTTGACAGTATCCATGACATTGTCGAAAATCTCGATATTGACTATTTTGGGTATGTGAGATGACGTTAGCACCGAATTAAGAAATTCGAGTTTTTGGTGTCCTCTTACATAAACTAAATCAACATCTTTGAGATGTTCTGATAGTATATTCGGTAATTCATCATAGTCTATCAACTCAGGAGAGTATGTTAGCCCATGGGAATTTCGTTCTAGCCAACGAACTTGTTTTTTGTCTGCTTCCTGAAGTGCACAAAATGGAACGGTTGCTTTGAATAAATAGTTGTTGATCTGATAGCCATTCGAAATTGATAGTTCTTTGGGGTAAAACGAATTGGATAACGAGAACCCTTGGATATCTATACTTAATAACTTCATTGCGTGAATGATGATACACAACTGAAATTATCAACTACTTGTAGCGGATCGAATGGAGTGCCCTCAGCGTGCAGGAAGTTTAAGTACAGCGTCCAGCATGGCTAGCCATGCTAGTTCCCTGTGTCGCGTGGGTCGCTGAAACATTACGGGTTCGCCGATGCGCCGTAGGATGTCGCTACCTAACCCTCTCGGTACCACCGGTTTTTGTGACTCCAGTAAAAAGTGGAAATTCGTTATCTTCCTCATTTAATAGCTTCGAAAGATATGTGAGGAGTTTATTGTTATTGAATTAAATAGTGGAAAATCGGCAAGGAAATCAATAAAGGTAAAACTGCCTGGGAAATAAAACACGAGTTTCCCTCGTTGTTCGTGCCCGCAATTTATTTTTGTAGGTAAGTCTTATGTAGGAAGTGTAAAATACATTGTTCGTTTCCACATGGTTGATGTACCGTGTGTACGCCTTGAGTATTGAAATATTCTTTTGTGGAAATATTCTGGCAATTCATTTTCGTAGATTCTCCAAAACGGTTTCCTTTTTTATGTAAAACGGAGTACTAGAATAAATCACGAACCCACAGTCTGCTTTTTTCCGTCATCCTGAACCAGAAACCCACACACACCAAATCACCCTGAGAAAGATTCTTTTGCATCTGGCGACCAACTAGAAGCCTGGTTCAGTAGGATGGTGTTAGAAAAAAGCCCATTACATAACACGCGAAGTAACTGCAGACGGAAGGTGCTTTTTGGAAACGAAAACAGCATGAGCAACCCACAAACACCACAGCGAAACCTGATGAGAAAGGAAACAGGTGAAAATCGACAAAACCAAGGTAACAATTTTCCATATGATTTGCCTAAAGTGAGCGAAGTGCCTATGATAACAACGTTGCCTCCGATATATACTGCACCAGTTCCACCACTGGTATCAACTTCGCAGATTCCTGATTGGTCGGCTTTAGGAGCTACATCAGGGGGTTTTGCTCAGCAGTTTGAAGCCTCGGCACCTCCTGAAAATATATCAAGTTTCAATAAGCAGCCACAACAAAACCAAAATCAAAATTTAGGAAGTTCAAACCAAAGCAAAAACTTTTCGGGTTCTAGTGAAAATTCCGTATTGTCAAATAATAATAATAGTGTTCAGTTCGCTAATAATGATTTGAGCAAGTTGATAGAAAATGAGATCAATATAGCATTGCAGAAATATTTAAATGTAAACCCAGGCATGGTTACTGCTGGTCTAACTGGGACGACTCAAGCGGGTTCCATATCTGGTAATAATAGAAATGGAAACCAAAATAGTGATCCAAATTTTTTAATACCTCGTTGGCAGGAGATCAGCACTAATAATGTACCCAATGTAGGGAATTTATATTATGGAGGTGCGAGTACGAACAATGCAGGACAGAATAGTATTAATAATGCAGTGGGAAATACTTTGGATTTAAGAAGCTGTCAAAATTCGTCAACTTTTGGAGATGACGGGCAAATACATCCAGTAGATTTCTTGAATTACCTCGAATCATGTATTGATATTTATTCCACAGATATGAACAGGTTCACACTAATCACGCAACATTTGTTCGAAAAATCAGCCCCAAATTTGGCTGATGCTTTCGTGCATAGTTTTAGATCTTTTTATGAATTCAAAACCGCATTTTTAGACCAATTTTGGGGTGCCAATAGGCAACACAAAATTATTTGGAGACTGGAAACAGGACGGTACCAGGAGGGGGATGTTTCCTTTGTAAATTATTTTAATAAATTTGTGGCCATGTCGAAATATTTACAACCAGCATATTCACCCGAACAGTTGATATCCGCATTGGCACGCCATTTCCCGCCAAATATTTCAGCCACCCTCGTAGGTACTAAAAATCTGTTAGGTGCGCTGGATCGATTACGTCAGGCGGATCACTACTTTAGCAAAAACAATAATAATTTCGGAGAGAAAAGAACATACCAAAACCAACGTTTTGGAGATACAAATCCCCAACTTAATACAAATCGTATGAGTCACAATAATAGCACCCTCAGAACTTTTCCGAAAAACTTTCCTCACAAGAATGTGCCTAACAACCATGGACGAACAGGAGGAAGGAAACTGTTCGGAAAACGAACCAAACTCCCAGCTTTAGGCTCTGAACTGGAAGCGGTTATCAAAAGAGCCAAGTTCGAAATCAAAATAAATAATAATCCCGCAGAAGAATTACTGGAAGAGTGTGATTTTGATCATACCCCTCTGGATATTAGATCACCCGTGATAATGCTTAAAATTTTTGGTTTTTCTT